AGAATCTTGTAGTTAACAATAGTGATAGAAATAAATTAGTTGCAGAAGTTTATAAAAGCCTGAGAGAGCAAAGAAATAAATTGATGCTGGGACTCGCATTAAAATGGCCTAGGATCCGCGTACTCCCTCTTTGATAGCATTCGCTATGTATCTGAAAATCAATAATAAATCTTTACGATAAGAATCATGTGACTTTGAAATAGCTGATCCGTGTGACCATAAAAAAATTTTTTTAACCATGAAGTCAGTAAAATGTCTCGTCCCAAAATACACGATTATTTTAAGCGAAAATGTACAGAATGGAACATTACCGAGTTTTTAAACGAAAGTAAGGAGGAACCGTTTCAGTTGAAGATTGGTTTGTATTTAAAAAGTCTCGAGACCATCAATGACAATGAACAAGGGAGGAGGCAAGAAAGGGCACAACTTCTCCTGAATGATTATAGGGAGGCAAGTAGAAGTCTTTTTTTATTGAATGTAGATAGAGTAAGTGGCGTGGCAGGGAATCTTCAGGTTTCTTTGTCATTCAAGTCTTTAGGTCGAGCCACCAAACCAGTGCTGGGGCACAGGTGATCTTTAGGTTCGCCTGATGTTTCAAGTCTTTAGGTCGAGCCAGTGCTGGACCCATGAGGGCACAGTTAATCTTTAGGTTTAGTTGATGTTTGAATGGGATGGAAAAATCAAATTTGGTTTAGGTCTATTAGTCAGAATACTACTAATTTCTCGTTCATGTTAGGGATCCGATGGTAAAATAGCAAAAAAATGGGAAAGAGAACGCTCTCGTGTGCTCCATCTCCATCAGCCGATGTTTGTAGATGGGACGATCAATGGGGCTGTAAACAACGGAACAATCGGAAGAGTTGAAAATATAAATGGGTTCATTGCTGGATCATCCGAAACAAAAAGAGATCTGGAAAAAGTACGATATATTTTGTTAGCTAGAAGTCGTGAGGATCAGCAGAAATAGCTAATGTTTAAATTGCAAATTTATTTTAATGTTGTCCCTTATATTTATGTAGGATTTAAATAACGAGATCGACAACTTCTTTCAAAGTCCTTCCGAACGACAATCATCCAATCTGTTTTTGCGGAAATCGGAAATTGAACAAGATATTTCCAACGAAACAGGCAACGAGGTAATATCCACATTGTGCTCAATTATTACTATTCAAATAATTGCTAATTGTGGAAATCTTTCTTAGGCCGATCATGAATTACAAGATGATGCCGATTCGGATTTGGATACAGCAGATAATGAGGTAAATTATATCTGGCATATGTTGTTAGCTTATAAATGTTTACAATCCTCACCACATCTACTCTTGAAGGAGGCGATTGATGATCAAGAAGAGGTGAAGGAGGCGACCAATGATGTGAAGACAAACAAAGTAAATCTCATTAGACTTCTGGTTTCGGTTTTTTTGTGTATACTAAATACTGATAAGAATTTATGTTCTTGCCATTTAGACGGGACCACTTAGACTGAGCGAGGCCAATCGAAGGGAAATTGACACAGCTTATAACTTAATGGACAAGCAATATATGTGGAAACTCTCATCTGGAAAATTCGTAGAAGAAGAATTATATAAGCTGGGGAAAAGATTAGAGTTCGAGCAGTTTGTATTCATGCATGTAATTATGTTTGTTTAGGAGCGTAGGCACAATTGTACTAAATTGTTATTCCCTAGCGCCGTTCATTCGTTTATCCTCGATGTTGAAGATGAATTGGTTATGGAACATTTTACAGAGACAGAACTTCGAGAGATAGACAACACATCTATTCCAGAAGTACCAGAGCTCTCGAATGAAATTGATGAGTTTCTAAATAAATTCCTTGGCAAGGTAAGAAATATTTCATTTACCTGTATATGTGTATCGCAAATAAGCCACAGGTTCTTTCTCTTTTGTTGTAGACGAACTTAAATGAAATCCGTCAAATAATAAAAGAATCAAGTTTTGGTAATGACTATGACCATGAGAAACACCATGACCTGGATTATATATGTCTTGCTTTGCATTCATTGTAAGTATTCTTTTTATTTTATTTTTGTTCTATGATTTTGTTAAAATTTATGTGCCAATGGTGAATTGACTGAAAACTGCCTACAGGGTGAGGGAAATACAAAACGGTAGTATCAAGGACACAAATCTCGAGAATTGGTATAACTGCCATGTATGGAGTGTAGTGTTTGATCAAGCATTCGGAGACATAAGGGCGATAGCTGTAGTCAGGTAAATTTTTTTATCTTTGTCAAGCCTAGGTCTTAAAGGCGACGTATTCCTCAGTGATTTCCGCTCAATAGTACGAATATTTCCGTCTGCGGCACATTGAATTTCTGCGGCTAATCGATCGGCAAAATGGCACAGTAGTATTAGTAATACAAATT